GAACCCAGATCTCCAGACCCCCTGGTTCAGTGGGCATGAGGTGGCCTGTGTTTCTAAGCACTCTTACAGCCTTTAAGAAGGAGCCCAAGGCACCAGGCTCCTTCTAAACTGTGATGCAAGGCCGCAGTCCTTGCTTCCATCTCCTTGAACCAAAGACAGCGCCACCTGGGCCGCTAGTCATCCTCACCAGGCAGGTAAAACTGTGAGTCTTGCAGAGCTGACTGTGTTTACTGAGTCTATAGCCCTCTGGGAAGTGGTTAGGAAAAGCCAGATTATTTGTTACATTTGTTTGCTACTTCTTGCCACTGTCGTTAAAGAGAGAGGTGTAGTGAGGCAAGCAGAGGTAGCAGGGACTCTAACAATATTGAGGTAGTCTCTCTCCATGCAGACTACAATTTAAATCGACTGAGTCTGGTGATTTGGGGGGTTCAAAGGGAAGCAGCAATACAAAGTGGCCCTGAGGAGGCAGTTATAGCAAGAGATTAACCATTTCTCAGCATCCTCGAGAGAATGCCAAGGTCCAATCAAGTATAGAAGCCAGGAAATAAATGAGGGCATCATTCGGGTTTAAGAACTACGCCAGGTGGATGAACCTTGAGGACATGATGCTCATTGAAAGACAGATACTGTTATCATTCCACTTCTATGAGCTATTTAGAGTAGTCAAATTCATAAAGAAAAGACAGTAGAATGGTGGCTGCCAAGGGCTGGTGGGGGGCAGGGGGTGGTGAGGAATGAGGAGTTAGTGTTTCCTGGGGACAGAGTTTCAGTTTTATGAGACGAAGAGTTCTGGAGATGGATGGTGGGGGTGGTGGCACAACATTCTGAATGCACTTAATACCACTGAACTACCATACATTTCAAAGTAGTTAAGATGGTCAGTTTTATGTTGTATGTATTTTGCCACAGTTTAAAAAAGGAAAAGGAAAAAAAAAGAGCCATGCCAGCGGAAATCTTTGGCTGTGGTTACTTGCCCATTTAACTGCCTGAAGAAAAAAAGACCAGACACCTACTAAATTTTTGAGAGAAACTATGAGCTTGGCCTGCAAAAGATCTCTGGCATATAAAACAATGCCCCAGGGAGTTCCCTGGCGGTCCAGTGGTTAGGATTCAGCACTTTCACTGTGGGCCTGGGAACTAAGATCCTGCAAGCCTCGAGGTGAAGCCAAAAACAACAACAACCAAACAAAAACAATGCCCCAAGTTTGTACCATGAGGTCCTTAAAATCATACCACAGGAAATGGAATGAGAAAGCTTCAGAAGTGGTGATGGGGAAGAGAGGCCAGTGAGGAACCTCCCAGAGGATATAGCCAAGGACCATGGGCAAAGACCTTACTCTCAGCAATGGCAGTCTTCACAATTCCTGCCTAACTAAATATTTTAATTGCTAAATTCAGTGATTTCTGTGGGCTTCCCATGCTTCCACTGAGGTTTTTGGTTTACTATGGCTTTAACATTTATTTTGCATGTAGATTGGAAGTTTTTTTTTCAAGTCTGTGGGTCACCAGCCACAAGAAGCCATTCCAGGGCTCGAAGAACAGTGTGAATTAGATGCTGTGAATGATTGACTCATCAGGCTATGACCTCAGAGAGGATACTCTATATATGAGGAGTGCGTGGTTGTGGTATGACACTGAGTAGAGGGGCACCAGTCCTTCTGGTTCTGCCTAGGAAGATGCCTTCAGGTGTTTCAGCACCAAGATATTTACAAGACAAAGAAATACTTCTCTTGCTAATACTGCCTGCCTCTCATAGCATAACTTTTTAAATTGTAATTGGGGCAAAATACACATACCATAAAATTTACCACTGTGACCATTTTTAAGTGTGCAGTTCAGTGGTTGCTAGGTACATTCACATTGTCATGCAACTATCACCACCATCCATCCCCAGAACTTTTTCATCTTGCAAAACTGAAACTTCACAGTCATTAAACAACTCTCCATTCTCCCTCTCCCGGCTCCAGCCCCTGGTAATCACTGTTCTACTTTCTGTCTCTATGAATTTGACCTCTCTAGTTACCTCATATAAACAGAATCATACAATATTTGTCCTTTTTTGTCTGGCTTATTTCATTCAGCATAGTGTCCTCGAGATTCATCCACATTGTAGCATTTGTCAGACTGTCCTTTTTTAAGGCTGTATAATATTTCATTGTGTGTATATACCACATTTTGATTATCCATTCGTCTGTCAGTGGGTGCTTGGAATGCTTCTACCTTTTGTCTACTGCGAATAGTGCTGCTATGAACATGAGTGTACAAATGCTTTCAATTCTTTTTTTTTAAGATTTATTTTTTATTTATTTATTTACTTTATTTATTTTTGGCTGTGTCGGGTCTTAGTTGCAGCATGCAGGATCTTCGTGGAGGCATGTGGGATCCTTCGTTGTGGTGTACAGGCTTTCTCTTCTCTAGTTGTAACACGCAGGCTCCAGGGCACGTGGGCTCTGTAGTCATGGTGTGCAGGTTCCAGAGTACTTGGGCTCTGTAGTTTGCAGCTCACAGGCTCTAGCTGAGGCACACGAGCTCAGTAGTTGTGGCATGCGGGCCTAGTTGCCCTGCCGCATGTGGGATCTTAGTTCCCTGACCAGGGATTGAGCCCACGTCCCCTGCCTTGTAAGGTGGATTCTTTACCACTGGGTCACCAGGGAAGTCCCTCAGTTCTTTTCTATATATACCCAGAAGTCAACTTGCTAGATCATATGGTAATTCTATTTTTCATTTTTAATCTTTTGAGGAATCACCATACCATTTTCCATAGCAACTGCACCATTTTATAATTCCATCAACAGTGTGCAATTGTTCCAATTTCTCTACATCCTCACCAACACTTGTTATAATGGAAGCCTCATCACTAGTGTTTATCTTGCTCTTTTTTTCTAGTTTCTTGAGGTGTAAAGTTAGGTTACTGACCTGGGATCTTTCTTCTTTTTTAATGTAAGCGCTTACAGCTATAAATTTCCCTCTGAGCATAGCTTTTGCTGAATCCCACAAGATTTGGTATGTTGTGCGTTCATTTTCATTTATTTTAAGTATATTCCAATCTAACTTGTAATTTCTTCTTTCACCTATTGGTCAAAGGTGTGTTGTTTAATTTCTATATATTTGTAAAGTGTCCAGTTTTCCTCCTGTTACTCATTTCTCATTTCATTCCATTGTGGTCAGAGAAGATACTTTGGATGATTTCAATCCATCATCTGTGTTTAATTAAACAGAAGTGAACTACTAAACTACAAAACTCACTTCACATCTATTAGGATGGCTAAACTCTTCAAAACCAGAAAATAACAAGTGTTGACAAAGATGTGGAGAAATTAGAACTCTAGTACACTACTGGTGGGAATGTAAAATAGTGCAGCCACTATGAAAAACAATTTGGTGATTCCTCAAAAAGTTAAACAGAATTACCTTATGATCCAGCAATTCCACTCCTAGTTACATACCCAAAGGGATCGAAAACAAGGACTCAATCAGATACGTATACACAAGTGTTCATAGCAGCACTATTCACAGTAGCCAAAATGTGGAAACAACCCAAGTGTCCATCAACAGATGAATGGATAAACAAAAAATATATATATCCATGTGAATAACATGGAATATTATTCAGCCATAGACAGGAATGAAGTTCTGATATGTGCTACAACATGGATGCTCCTTCAAAACGTTATGCTAAGTGAAATAAGCCAGACACAATAGGACAAGTATTCTATGATTCCACTTATATGAAACATGTAGAATAGGCATATTCATAGTGACAGAAAGTAAGTTAGATGTTACCAGGGATGGGGAGGATGGGGGAATGAAGAGTCATTACTTAAAGGGCACACAATTTCAATTTAGGAGGATGAAAAAAGTTTTGGAAAGAGTTGGTGGTGATGGTTGCACAAACTTGTGGATGTAATTAATGCCCCTGAGTTGTACACTTAAAAATGATTAAATAGTAGAAATTCATCTCATGTTCTTGTAAGTGGCTAACCATTATCCTTAATTTTGAAGACAAAAATGGTGGTAATTTGAAACTGAGCTTCAAAATTTTAAAAAGGAGATGGAAGAACTTAAAACAACTTAATGCCATTTTCAAAAAGAATAAAGCAAACTAAATAATATTAACAGTTCTTATCCATTCATTCAATCAACAAATATTTGTCAACTGAATCCAAAATACCAGGCTCCATGCTGTGCACTGTAAACACACGTTATTTTTGGACCTTACACTGTAGTGAGAGGTTGTACGAAGACCTTACACTGTCTAAAGGAGACAAACAATAGATAATAAGGTCATTTTAGTTAGTGATAAATACTTGGAAAAAATAGTATCAAGAGACTAAGAAGACAAGCCACAGACTGGGAGAAAATATTTGCAAAAGATGTATCTCATAAAGGACTGTTATCCAAAATATACAAAGAATTCATAAAGTTCAACAATAAGAAGAAAATTTTAAAAGGATAAAAAGTTTTGTTATATATATTTCACTACAATAAAAAAAATTTTAATTCTTCCTTTTTTCTTTCTTTCCCCATCATATACCAAAGAAATAAAAGACCCAAGGGGGAGAGAGGTGGCCAACAATCGTGAAAACATCATTTAAGTGTGACAGGAAAAATAAAGGCAGCCTTTGGTTGGTAACATTCATTCTCCCCACACACACACCCCAAAAAAAGGGAACTACTTCTGAGCGAGACAAAATAAAAGGATGCTGGACCGGGTGCCAACCCCTGTTCACTGCTAGGTAAAGCACTGCCCGCCAGCACCGGGTAGGGTCAGGGCCGCCCTCCACTAGTGACCATCATGCGCTGCAGACCGCCTTGCAACCCAGCAGAGTCAAAGAAGTGAAAACGAAGGGAAAGGGCAGGCTTTATGGAGTTCATGCTGGGTCTCAGGCACTCTTTGTAAATTGCCTCCCCCAGGCTACTTCATTTAAGGTTATGGGAGTGGCCCTTGTTTTCCAGGTGGGGGAACTGAGTGTCAGGCAGGGCAAGTGTTCATGAAAAAGCTAGACCCGGAACTTAGGACGAGTGTTTATTTTTAAAACTCCGCGGCTTCGCTCCAGGGTCCTCCTCGATGCCACCCTCACATCTTTATTGCGCAGAGTGTGTACCACCGGGTTCAGCAGCGGTGTCACCACCGTGTAGAACACAGCCACCAGGCCGTCCCGGTCCGGGTTCCCTCTGGACTCAGGCCTCAGGTAGATGATGGAGGCGCAGCCAAAATGCACAATGACCACGGTGAGGTGGGCCGCACAGGTGGAGAAGGGCTTGTGCCGGCCGGCTGCTGAGGGGATCCTCAGGAGGGCGGCCACAGTGAAGGTGTAGGAGAGGAGGATGAGGAAGGAGACCAGCACCACGAGGATACTCAGGAAGAAGAATGCCAGCGCTTTGCCGGCACTCCCCTTGCAGCTGAGCTTCAGGACCGCGTGATGTCGCAGAAGAAGTGTTCCACGCGTTCGCTGCGGCACAAGGGCGAGGAGAAGATCAGGCTGGTCTCGATCAAGGCCACCGAGGACCCGAAGCAGAAAACCAGGGCTCCCAGGTAGAGGCAAACTGTGGGTCTCATGATCACCCAATAACGCAGGGGATGACCGATGGCAACGCAGCGGTAGTAACCCATCAGGGTAAGGAGGAAGCAGTGGGTGCATCCCAGGCCCAGGTAGAAGAACATCTGAGCCCAATAGCCAGGGATGGAGATAGCTCCACTCTCCATGAGCAGATGACCCAGCATATTGGGGATGGTGACCAGCGTGTAGCAGGTCTCAGAGAGGGACAGCACGGCCAGGAAGCGGTACATGGGAGTGTGAAGGGTCCGATCCGCATGTATGATGGTGATGATGGTGACATTGCCACTCAGGGTAACCAAGTATGTGAGGAAGGACAGTGCAAAGAGGGTGGTCCTCAGGCCTGGGAAGGTGGAGAAGCCCACCAGCATGAACTCCGTCACCAGCCAGGTGGCATTTTCCCACTGCTTCTCTGGAACCTGAGAGGAGAAAGCAAAGGAAATGGAATAGGACAACTTAATAAGGCTCTGCTAAGCAACAGATACCAGTGAGACAGGATAATCATCCCTGTTTTACAAAAAAAAGAAAAAAGAAAAAAAGGAAAGAGAGACTCAGAAATGAGGTCACTGTTTTCCTCATATCACCCAGCTAGCAGCTCTTCAACAGACGAGAAAATTACAGATATGGAAATGACCTGAGTGCCAATTAACAGAGGAATGGATAAAGATTGGTACATAGACACATTGGAATATTATTCAGTGGTGAGAAAGAAGGCAATAGTGCCATTTTTGACAATATAGATGGACTTTGAGGACATCATGCCAAGTATGATGTCAGACAGAGAAAGAAAAATACTGTATGATCTTACTTGTATGTGTAACCTAAAAGCCAAACTTGTAAAAAAAAGAAAAAAAAAGAGTAAAATGGTGGTCACCAGGGCCTGGGATACATTGATATATTGTAATATGATTACCACTGTAGCCATATTCAGCATCTCTATCATGTCACATAATTATTATAGTTCTTAGAGTCTCTAAGTAATCCTTGCCTCATCTCCAAAGCCATGGGTGGTGGAGTGGGGAAGGGAGACAGACAATAAAAGTGTATTATCAAAGTTTTGACTGAAATAAAAACACACAAAATGAGAGCTGTGAGTTTCAGCTTTATTTGGGGACTTTCTGAGGACTATAGCCCAGGAGACAGCCTCTCAGAGAGCTCTGAGCAACTGCTCCGAAGAGGTGGGGGGCAGGTCAGCATATATGTAATTCTGGAGAAGGGGATGTGCGATCAAGCACACCTCTTCGTAGAAAATTACTGCTGGTCACAAGGCACAGTTATTTTAGTTAATGATTTTAGTGCTTTCTAAGTATGGGAAGATGTAAGAAATTGGATTCATAAAAGTCTCTCCTGGGGCTTCCCTGGTGGTGCAATGGTTAAGAATCCACCTGCCAATGCAGGGGACACAGGTTGGAGTCCTGGTCCGGGAAGATCCCACATGCTGTGGAGCAACTAAGCCCGTGCACCACAACTAATGAGCCTGTGCTCTAGAGCCTGCGAGCCACAACTACTGAGCCCATAGACTACTGAGCCCATGTGCTGCAACTACTGAAGCCCGCAGTCCTGGAGCCCATGCCCCGCAACAAGAGAAGCCACCATAATGAGGAGCCCGCACACCACAACGAAGAGTACTCCCCACTCGCTGCAACTAGAGAAAACCTGTGCACAGCAACAAAGACCCAGTGCAACCAAAAATAAATAAATAAAATAAATAAATTTATTTTTTAAAATATCTCTCCTGAAAATATCTAACTATCTGAAGGGCTGTTCTGTCAGTTTTCCCAGAGCACAGAGAGCCTCATTCCTGATCTCCACCCTGAACCCTTTCAGGGTATGTTGAAGGTCAGTGACTGCAGTGGCCAATGACTCAATTCTTGAAGAGCCCGGTGGCCAGTGACTTTTTTTTTTTTTTAACTTTATTTATTTTTTTTAATTTGCTGTACGCGGGCCTCTCACTGTTGTGGCCTCTCCCTTTGCGGAGCACAGGCTCCGGACGCGCAGGCTCAGCGACCAGGGCTCACGGGCCCAGCCGCTCCGCGGCATGTGGGATCTTCCCGGACCGGGGCACGAACCCGTGTCCCCTGCATCGGCAGGCAGACTCTCAACCACTGCGCCACCAGGGAAGCCCCCAGTGACATTCTTTAGTGGGACCACTACAATTTAATCCCAGCTGGAGGTCCCTGAGGGGCAACAAGGGAAGTGGGATGTTTGTCCACCAGCCCCCAATCGTCTTGCTCAAGAGTTTTGACCAGAAGGCATTAATCTCCCAGTACTTCCAAACCTGCCACATGTACAGGGAATTCAAAGTCTGGCAGGTAAGGAAGAGAATAAGCGCCAAGGGGATATGGTCCAGGAATTTACAGGGTCCTCTACAATCCGTGTAAAAAGAATACCCAAGAAAGGCAAAGCCTGTAGCATCGATATCTGAAATGAACAAAGGAATACTTTTAGGAGACCTAATACCCAGCGCTACATCAAGTCTTCCATGAGCCCTAGGCACTTTTGCCTTCCTCCATAAAAATTGTTTTTGTGTTTTTGTTTTTGTTTTAAAAAGGGAATTCCCTGGCAGTCCAGTGGTTAGGACTCTGCAATTCCATTTCAGGGAGCAGGGGTTCCATCCCTGGCCCAGGAACTAAGATTCTGCAAGCCTTGCAGAGCAGCCAAAGAAAAAAAATCGTTTTAAATTTTTATTTAAATTTTATTTTTTAAATTTTTATTTAAATATAATTTAATTTATTAAATAAATTAAATACAATTTAATTTTTTAATTTATTTCAGTTTTATAAAAATTTAAAATTTTACATTTTAGGACTGTGTTGGTGTAAAATGAATATAATTTTCACCCTAAAAATTTATTTATTTCTTCTGATCTTAGACATTAACACAATTTCATGAGCCCCTTAATGGTATTGCAGGCCCTAGGCCTTGTGCTAATAAATACATCTGTGTTAATTAAATGGAAAATAACTCTGAATTATTGACCTTTTTTTTTTTGGCCACGCTGCCGGCATTCGGGATCTTAGTTCCCCCACCAGGGATGGAACCCGTGCCCCCTACAGTGGAAGCACGGAGTCCTAACCACTGTACCGCCAGGAAATTCCCATAAAATTATTGACCATTTTAATTCAAACAATGAAGCATTAGTAAAAATCCTGGATTGGCCATAGTTTTATTATTTTATAATCAATTAACCTGCTAGCTCAGAAAAATATGTATAACCTATTTTGGAATGTTTCTGAGTATTTTGCACTCATTTGGAAAATGGTCCTAATGTAATCTTTCCCTGCTTATCAAGAGTTAATTGGTTTGGGGCTTCCCTGGTGGCACAGTGGTTGAGAGTCCGCCTGCCGATGCAGGGGACACGGGTTCGTGTCCCGGTCCGGGAGGATCCCACATGCCGCGGAGCGGCTGGGCCTGTGAGCCATGGCCGCTGAGCCTGCGTGTCCGGAGCCTGTGCTCCGCAACGGCAGAGGCCACAACAGTGAGAGGCCCGCATACCGCAAAAAAAAAAAAAAAAAAAAAGAGTTAATTGGTTTGGAGAGAAGCACATTTCAGCCTTGAGATCCTGAAATACCGACTCTGAGACGAGGATGGGTAGAGGCGGGGGAGAGGTGAGTCCTGATTTATGCGCCATCTAGTGGCATTTTGGGTAATCTGCAAGCCGGTGACCCTTAGGAGAGAATAAATAGCTGTGCCCCTGAAATTACTCACCTGCAGCAATGGAAGGAGAGAAATTGAGAATGACCCTTTAAATGTTTTGGAAGTTTGTTGAAATTTTAATTTGTGAAAAATAAATTTTAGATTATTATTATTATAGTTCTGAGAATATATAAAGTAGAGAAAAACAACAAAAATGTGCTTGGTCAAGTCCAAAGACATTCTGTTTATAAAGACTAGTCAGGACCATCAAAGAACTTAACAGGTGCAAAAAGTGAGGAAGGGATGCCCATTTTTCATGAAGAAAGAAAAACCAGGAAGCAGGAAGTAGGCAGCCCTGTTGATCAAGCCAGCGGTGCAAACTTTTTCTGTAAAAGGCCAGATAATGACTATTTTAGGCCATTTGAGCTGTACGATCTCTGTCACAACTGCTCAGCTCTGCCCATCTAGTGTGAAATCAACCACAGATAATGTATACGTGTCCATGACTGTTTCAATAAAACTTTATTTACAAAAACAGGCAGGGGGCCAGATTTGGCCCTCAGGCTATAGTTTGCCAACACCTGATCCAGCACAAATAAAACTAAAAGAATATTCAACTTAGGGAAATTCCAGTGAGGTCCTCTGAGGGATTCACACTGAGAAAAAAAAGCGAAGCCTGACCTGAAATCTTCAAAAACTAAATAAAGCAAAATGAAACTCCAAAGCTAAGAATCTCAGACTCCACTTAAGAAATCTAGATCTAAGAAAAGGCACACTTGACAGAGATGCCCAGAGCATGTGTCTGAAAGAGACTTTTTTATTTCAAATTAAACTGCATCAGAAAGAACATCAGAGCCTTTATATAGTGAGAATTATAGAAATTCAATTAGCTGGAAGACTTCACATAGGAAAAAATGTAGTTGGATTATGACCGCTAAAAAAGTGTAATTTCTGAATATCACAAAACATTGTTAAATTGAAGTAAACGTATAGGCAAATCATAAACTAGAAAATGTTGTGGCCCTAAAAAATCTTTGACTCTTCTTTTGCACAGCAAAGAAAACCATAAACAAAATGAAAAGACAACATACAGACTGGGAGAAAATATTTGCAAATGACACAACTGACAAGGGCTTAATTTCCAAAATATACAAACAGCTCATACTGCTCAATATCAAAAAAAAAAACAATCAAAAAATGGGCAAAAGACCTAAATAGACCTAAATTTTTTTAAATTATCCAATTGGCAAAGATTAAAGAGGAAAATGAGTGCTGGGTGTTAATGAGTGTGTGCAGAACGAGGCCGTCTACTGTCATCTTTACATTGCTGGTTGCAGGAACATGCAATTTGTCATTTATCTGAAGTCCTACTTTGGTTCTATAATTCTGCTTCTAGATTTTTCTCATAAAGAAATTATCTGGCACCAGGTACAAGGATATTCATAGTAGCATTATTTAAAGTTAAAAAAAAAAGAAACAACGTAAGTGTTCAATAAAATGCCCTTACAAATCATTAAGAGGGGAAAACCCCCTAAAACTTTAATAGGAGAGAAGATGGACTATCATTAAAGTCACATCTTTGGGCTTCCCTGGTAGCGCAGTGGTTGAGAGTCCGCCTGCCGATGCAGGGGACGCGGGTTCGTGCCCCGGTCCGGGAAAATCCCACATACTGCGGAGCGGCTGGGCCCGTGAGCCATGGCTGCTGAGCCTGCGCGTCCAGAGCCTGTGCTCCGCAACGGGAGAGGCCACAACAGTGAGAGGCCCGCGTACCGCAAAAAAAAAAAGGTCACATCTTTGAGAATAATTGATGACATGAGAAGAATTCTCATTTATGTGTTTTCTGAGAAATGTGTAACAAAACAATCAAATCCTAATTGACTCACTACAAATGCATGTGTTTTTTATTCTTTTTTGTATGTCCCAATTTTCCTACATCGAATGGGGATTTTTGTAAACAGAAAAATAACATTTCTTAGAGGGATTTTTTTTTCCTCTGGGTAAATATTTTTTATTGTTCTTAAAGAAGTTTAATGCATCTGGTTTGGAAAAAGGAAGCTAAGGGTAGAGATAAAGAGGTTCCCTTTGAAATACAAAATATGCTAACGCCATTTGTGATGAACATTTTCAATATATGATCTGAAGAGCAAATGTCTAGTAAAAACTGCAAATAAGTGGGTGACTTGGC